TTTAAAAGGAGCCCCTTGAAGTAGCACCCAAGGAGCCAGATTCTGTAGGCTGATGGCATGTCGGACCAACTCCTAAGCTCATCTTCTTACTGGTTTAAGGTTTAGGGTTTAGGGTTTAGGCTTTAGGGTTTAGGGTTTAGGGTTTCGGGTTTAGGGCTTTCGGGGAGTGGGAGTGGATCCCGATAACCGTCTTTGTAGCATCCGCCATAGTCGTCCCGATATTCCCTCCTCCAAACTCCCTTAAGCACCAACAGATCTTGCCCCTTAAGGATTTAGGGTTCAGGGTTTGGGCTTTAGAGGTGTTGAGTTCAGGGTTGAGGGTTTTAGGGCTTGACTCGACAGAAGACGCAGAAAGGCTCTAGAAGGGGGTCCCCTCTGAAGGTGTCTCTAATCCGCTGAAAGGTGGCACGAGGCAAAGACACTGCAAAGAAAGAGAACCACAGCCACTGGGATACCCTGAACCCGAAACCCTGAACCCCAAACCCGAAGCCCCAAACCTGAAACCCTAAACCCGAAACCCTAAACCCTAGACTCTACACCCTAAACCCCAAATCTGAAACCCTAAACCCGAAGTCCTAATGTCATGTGCTCAAGTGTCAACCCCAAGGCGCAACCCCTTTACACAAAATCCTCTCCTCAAGCCGCCACTGTTTCCCCCCCCCCTGTTTTGGCTTGCATGACTCAAAGTATCCTAAACCCTAAACCCTAAACCCCAAAGTATCCCAAACCCTAAATCCTGAACCCTAACCGACGGGCTCCTGAGACCACAAACCAAGAGCGCAAACCTAAACCTCAAGTGCCCGCACGGAAGCCGGGGCTCGTAAAGCTCGTCGGCATCCTGGCTCCACACTGCTTGAAACTAATGTGTGTATATATATATATATATGTATGTATGTATATATATATATATATATGTATGTGTATATATATATGTATGTATACATGGGGCCTTAGTAATTACGAGTAGAATAGTGTCTTGGTGTACTAAACCACCTAAGTTAAGTTAACCTGAGGACTAGCATTGGTAGTTCTTCCTACCCTTAGGTCAAGTGTTTGTGGTCTGCGGGTCGGTGTCCGTCCTCGCTTCATGAACGGCTAGAGCGGAACATCCGCTGCAGTAGCCGTGGTCTTGTGGTGACGATGGTGCGGTGAGTTCAGGGTGTAGGGTTTATCGGGACCATCGACGATCGGTATATAGCATTCAGACCGACACTCATGTTGCGACTGCTGCATGACTGCCAGTCTATGAGCCATTCCTAGCGAGTTAAAAACCATGAGGCTTGGTCAAGTTCCGAGATGGGGGTTTCCGAAAATAGGAGACCCTAATATAGTACCCTAAATGATAGGATCCCTATTATAAGGACCCCAAAATAAGGAAACCCTAAACCCTAAACCNNCTAATTTTCTGAAACTCCCAGATAGGAAAGCTGCTAGTACTACACAGCGAGATCCGGCTTTGTACTCTTTCATGCGAGCTCAGTCAAACTGATTGCTACGTGGCTAGGGTTTCGGGTTTAGGGTTNNGGTTTAGGGTTTAGGGTTCCTGGCCACTGAAAACAGCACAGCTACATAGTGTCATCGTAGTAATGGCTAAACTCTTGGGGACGAGACAGATCACCCGTGGTCTTGGCAGCCATGCTGGCGAGATTGCCAGTACACTTATGGACATTCATACCTTTAGGGTGTTGGCTTAGGGTTTTAAGTTTCAGCACCTGGGTATTGCAAGGGCCTAAATTGAACATGTCATGAATGTAGACATGATGTGCTGCAAAGGCCATTACCCTCGACATCACCCGAAACAAAACCCAGGCCAAAAACACTGAACACCAGACCCTACGACAAAGCTCGGACGCCGCAACGCCTAGACCTTCACAAGCAGCAGGGGCGAGAAGCTGAGCTTAACCCAAAACCCTAAACCCTAA